CACACTAGGAGAGAAAATCAGCAACTGTATAATGCACAAGATGAACGGTTGGCTTGAGAATACCTACCCCATTCTTTAGAGCACGCTCTGTGTTTTGTTTCAGCCCATCTTTTACATCACTGTCTTTCATTCTAGTGAGAAGTTTCTTTGCCTGGTTCTCATCCACCCCTGCAAGTCTGGCTGCCTGTATGCACACAATGCAACTCAATTTAAATACTGTGGAATACTTTATTTTCGCTGGAATTAATTTTCGCTGAAAAGGCTTTTTGGGCGTTTCTTTATGGAATTTATTTTCACTGATTTTTGATTAATTGAATGTGAAATATAGGAAAAAAAGTATATTCACTGGATTTTATTTTCACGGAATCATCCCTTCAGCAAAAATAGCGAAAATAAATTCCAAGCGAAAATAAAGTATTCTACAGTATATAGATTATGCAAATGTTTCACAAAATAAAAATGACTACTATTCATCTAAAAAGTAGATATTCTAGAAGTACTGTAAAATACTTTCTTTTAGCTGGATTTAATTTTCGCTGAATATACTTTTTTTGTGTATTTTGAATGGAATTTATTTTCACTGATTTTTGACAAGTTTAATGTAAAATATAGAAAAAAAAAGTATATTTGCTAGATTTTTTCACTGTATCATTCCTTCAGTGAATCCCTGTATAGTAACTCTGTATAGTAAGTATGTTTTTTAAAAAGTATAAATTAATGCAATTATAATTAGACATCATTTTAAATTCAGCCATTTATTCAAAAATAATTAGACTGGAAAAAACAATAAACTCAGTAGGTGTAAAATCACAAAATGGCCACCAATTGGCCATTTTGAATCATAACGTAGAAAAAAAGTACATACACAGTACCATGGTGTTTATATTAAATTTGATAAAAAAAAAATGAACAAAGTAGGGTTAAAACAAGTTTGAAGCTGCATTTTGCTTTTTTTTTCACTGTATTGCATGTATTTCATACAAAATCTCTCAAACACTCTATATATCCATTGTACTAGTACATAAAATAATTGTTGTTAATCATGAAAATAAAGTCTGTTAACAAGACATCCATTTCTAATAATTTTATAGAACCATGCAAATTATACTGCTCAATAATGCTTCTTTTGACTCTTCAATGAAAATAACTTGCACAAAATTTTGAACTTCTTTACTAAAGTAGTGGGAAATGTATTACATCTAGTGAATAAACCTACAGGTATCAATGGACTTACTTCAAATAAGCTTTCTGGAGTGGTAGCATCTTGATTCTGACAACAAAAGAACAATAATGCATATATTGAGAAAACAGGAAGAGAATTTGCCCAAATAAGATCAAGCATCTTTCTTATTAAAAGTAGACAACTTTTGTTGTAAACCCAAAAAACGATGATTGGTATCAATTTTTAAAAGTTGTATAGTTTTCAACAAATGCTGCAAATATTTAGCATTTTCAGTGACTGATAAATTAAATTTTTTTTTAAACTGCTTAGAGACGATGTCAAAAGATCAATGTTGGATAAAAGAATTATTTGCTTTAGTTTGGGGGTGGGGGTTTGACCTCAAAAAGTTTCCATCCTACAAAACGATTTAATTTTTTAATGAAGCAAAAAAATCTTGTAGTTCGTTTTTTTTTTCTATTCAATCATGCACAAAAGTAACAGAAAATGAAAAAAACAAACATCCAAGACGATATGTACGTCAAATGAGGTCAATTGCAGGGCATGGACCTAGAACCCGATTATCAATTTGTATTTAATGGTGAATGTAGTCTGATGCCATGATCAATATTTATCAATTAGGTTTCAGTGGAGGGTGGGGGAGTTTGAGAAAAAAACTAAAGGAATTATAATAAGTTTCTTATATCCTACATTGAACTTTTGATGTTGTCCGTTAGCAGATCAAGTTAAATGGATTAACCTTATACATGCCATAATTTTTCCTGCCAACATTTTTGTGTAATATTTTAATTATATTTTAAGTATTTTTGTAGTTTTTTTTTTATAAATTTTGACCAAAAGAAAATAATTTGGTATTAGTTGTAAATCTTGTTCAAAGATTTGAAAAATAGTACGAGTAAAATGATGTAGGTTTTTATTTTGTAAATGGTGAATAAAGTTGACATTGGCACTTGAGAGACACCACAATTGTTTTTTCATGTTTTTAACATTTTTTGCACCACACAATAATTAGCCAATATGACCTTTGACACAACTTCATTAAAAATTAATTGAAATTAACATGATGATCAATCAGTATATTATGTTCATTGTAAATGTTCATGGAGTTGCCTCCAAATACACTCCAGTCTAAGTTTTTTCTTTGAAGGATTGTTATAAGGAAACTGATCAGCAACCTCCAGACTTAAAGGGGAGTCACTCAATCCCATGGATTGCACCATATGCTCATGGGTAATTAACTCTGACTCGTCCACTAAGTAAATGAATGCTTATTATGCTCGCTTACTCAAACTGTGATTGACAGGCATTTTGCATACATTAGCCGCCATTTTAAACTAATGATTTTTACTTGTCGTGGCACGTTTTGATTGAAAACAACAACTTTTGTACATCAAAAGCCCAATCAGACGAGTGTAATCGCTGCGTACATCATCATGCCCCCGTAGATATGTATTTGGAATCACAGCTTGATCTCTAAACATCGTAATTGGCACATTTCCCGGAGCTTACGCCACGATGTGAGAGGCTTGGTTCAGATTAGCATACTAATTGCGGTGGCCATCTTGCCCCTATTTATAGTATCGGTTCCCCTTTAAGCCACTTCGATCCTCACATACCTTAGACCATAAGCGCATCCACAGTTGTCTACTGATATTTTCAGTTGCTTTATCATGTAAATCCATGCTAGCTGCCACTATGAATCTTTGAGCTGACAGCGTTCCTGAAAAACAAATCACAACCTGTTATTAGGTAATGTACATGTATAAATGGAAGCTAAAAGTTCCTACAAAAATATGGGTATAGTGTATACATTGTACACAATGTATTATAATGATGCGTTTGTAATATGTCCCATAAATCTTATTATACATGTCACCGTAACGACGTAAGTTACATTGTGCCGTAATTTTGAGGTATTTTACGAGGTATTTTCATCCTGCCATATAGGGAAATGCTAATTCCAAATATGGAATAATTACGCATGTAAGTGTCCTCTAATAATAAAAACAAACATGGCTGCCACCAGAGTTTGACCGGACTCTACACAAAGAAGTTCGCTGATTCTGTTCTAAACTTTTTGGATTTCGCTATTCCCATGACATATCCTTGGAAGTAAAAGATGTATAATAATAAGTTTATTACAAGGATACCCAAAAGAATGCACTCAGACTGTACGCCACACAACGACCTCACCTGCGTGTTGGTCGATACTTCCGCTGTACTGTCTTCGTGCATACTTTGAGGTACATGTATTCTCATAATAACCTCATATTATTTGACTGTTGTAGCAGCCACATCTCCAAAAATTGACCGGTGACCATACATTTTTTTTTTGTTCTTGAATACTCCAAACTTAGTTCTGCTACTGTAGAGAGTGTCAGAAAATTACTGTGTAACATTACCCTTAGTAGCTACCCTCCTTAAGGACAAAGACTTAAAATTAAGTTACCATCACAGATGGGCAATTATTTCTAACACCAATCAATGATCTATGTATACAGTATAATGCCAGTGTGCTGAGAGTACTGGAGACATGTTAAAAATCAATCTTTGTCTGCTATTTGAGATGTACAACATGAAAACAATGTGATCACATTACCGTTTATAATAACTTTATAATACTTACAGAAAATATATTTAATTTTACATCTGTGGTTTTTAGTCTTGTTCATTCCAGAGTACCTCCACTACGAGTTTAATTTAAATCTTATTTTTTAAGATACCAGAAGTTGGCTAATAATAATTAGATACCCAATAGGCATGTTCTTCATGGAAATTACCCCAGAGCATCTATGCATCAAATTTCAATGCAATTTGATTATTATGCAATTAGTATGCTTTAATTTCAATCAAAGTAATTGTTTGATTGGATTGCATTGTTCCCAGGCACTTGTATACCAAGACTTATTAAAATGCAATAATGGGTAATTATTATGCAAATTAAGTACCGTATTTATGCAGGTAAGCGCCAAGGGTCCTGAACATGGAAAATTGATAAAAAAAAAGGGGTGGGTGTTTGCCCGGGCATCCCCCTGCAAAAAAAGCCGAAAACCGTGAAAATTTACAACACGCAGATCGAACTGCAAGAGGGAATAGATTGTAGAATATTTCATTATTAAAGCCAAAACAATGTGCTTTCAACCACTCAGACTTTTCTTAAATATCAATGGAACAATCATGAAAACAGCTAAAAATTAGTAAATTATCATGCAAATTAGGTAATTAATATGCATGGATTTAAACCAAAACCTAATCAGAGAAATCAAGCAATTTACATCAAAAACCAACATACGATTTTAAATTGAGATATCAGTGGAACAGACAGACACATACACATACATGCACTAACAGCAAAGACTCCCATTGGGCTGGTGAAGTGGGTGCCATGGGTGGGTGTATGATACCGATTGATTTGAAAAGTGAATGTTGATATGATAAAACCAGACAATGAGTATTTAAATAGAAGAGCTAGATATAAGGATATGAAACCACTAACCTTTCATGATCATTTCCATCATATTTGGGGGATTCTGAAATGGTACCTTATAAAATTTTGCCAACCGATTCATATCAAGCACTATATATTTCAATTTTTGGGAATTTGTAGAGGGTGTATCATTTCCTAGGGTAAAAAATAGAACATAGTTACATCATGGTTGCCTTGCCCTTCATGAGAATTGTTTAAGAACTGTATATAGAGCTTTTATACATGCTTTCACAAAGACATGCAGTGTTGATTTATTGTAACCATATAGAAGTTGATATTAATTAAAAAGCTGTGGTCATCGCGCTGCATTCTGTGTGATATGGGACTCTTAGCAATGTATACAATGTGTGTAAAATAAATGCTTGTTTACATAAAATTTGAACTAGCTCTGCGCGACGGCCACCACCTCATAATTGCTTAAAGGTGAAGGCAGGGCAAGCAACATATTACTCCCAGATGAAAGAGATAAATATAGGTGGGAGAATGCAATTTCAATTACAGTTTTTATATCACTTTTCATTCTCTCAATATTCAACTTTTCATGTAGTCGATCATTTTTATTCTCCAGCAAAGGATTATGGGTCATTTTCTTATTATATTACAACACTGACTATGATGTCATACATTACCCCCTTTTGGTGGAAAATAAAGATGGACATACATGGACTACTACTACTTGGACTATGTGTCCGGAAAAAGTTATTGCATTAAATCCAAAATGCCAGGTATGCAGTCATCTTTTATCAGATCTTGAATCAACAAACATACATATGTATCAGATAGTGTACTACATATATAGTATATAGCTATATTGTATGTGTAAAATTTAAAAAGAGATGCATGTCCATGGATGTCTATTATAAAGATACTATCAAGACAGCTAGCTACACATGCATATTTTTATAATAATATAATCCTGAAAGAGAAATACTTCATACAAAATTCATAAACACAGTCAGAAAAAAATATAAACAAATTCAAAACTATTATTAATACAAATAAACGTAAATTAATCAAGCATGTGACTAAATACTTAAAACTTTGTTTCAAGAAACATGACACATAGACATTATTATTATTATTATTATTATTATTATTATGTACAGATCAAGACTAAAACATATGTTCCTAGCTGTTTTGGACTTTACTCGAGTGGGGCCTATGAGCAAATATAGGGGTCAACACATTTGAAGAAAAACATGGTAAAATATGAGTGAAAATTTTGTCCGTTTTTATGCCAATTATAACCAGTGGTAAGTTACCATATGTCGAAGATATACCACAAAAGTATGCTCAGTAATATACATGTATAGATGAAAAATAATACAAGACAAATGACATGAAATTTATGTCACTAAGATATAGCTTATTACTGGCATTTTTTAGATGGTTATATCAAATTTAAATTTGTGGTTTTTATGGCATGGAATCTGCTGTCAAATGATTTTCTACACATATTTTGGCAATGTATTTCAAAAACACAGATTGACAGTGAGCAACAAAAAGTACATGTATAAACACAGTAATTGTTTTACAACTATAATACTAAAAAGATTAATTACAGATTACAGAAGTTTAATACAAAATATAGTAACTGGTGTATGTGCTAAATTATGTCAAAAATGTATGTATAGTATTATTCCATCAGAATAAGTTCAAATCTTTCAGTCAGTGAATTTCGTGAAGGCATGAATTTTTTCCTCATGTGAAGTATTTATAAATATTTTTAAAAATGTTAAATGTGATGTAAATTGAAAACAAATTGACCAATCATAACATCTTTCAGACTATATGGCAGTAAATAAGTGATTTTTTGTTCAACTGCAAGATCTTGTGAGTTGCCTGAAAGATATGCGCCGAACGAGCGATTTGATTTTGAACTTGAATTTCTTTATTTTGTCACTCACATCGAATAGCTGATCTTTGACAGGGGAATATTGTGTTTGAATACCCTTATTTATCAAAATTCACCATCATCAAGTGTGTACGGCACATTGAAAGCAGAACTTGGTAGGTTACCAGTAAAATTAAAAATTGATTTAATTAATTTGGCTCAAATTAAATACTGCCATAGACTATATAGTCTGCCAGATAATCACATTTTAAAATTAGCCCTGGATGAAATGATAAAAATTAATTCAAACTGGGTAAGGACTATTAATGCTACACTGGGACATGATCTAATTAAAATAAAAAATGATCACAATATGGAAAATTGGAATCAAATACTAAAAAATGTAAAACTCAGACTATCTGAGATTTATATTCAAAGATGGAGAGAAGAACTAAATTTTAGTGAAACCAATGAAAATAGGGGAACAAAACTGAGAACATACAAACTATTCAAAGTAAGCTATAATATGAAAAATTATTTGCAAAACATTTCAAATTTCAGCCTCAGGAAAATGCTTTCAAAATTCCATCTGAGTGACCACAACTTAGAAATAGAATTAGGTAGAAGAACAAAGCCCAAAATAGAATTAGAAAATAGACACTGTAATAAATGTAACACTAAAGCATTAGGAGATGAAAAACATTTCCTGCTATTTTGTACTGGCTATATAGAACAAAGAAAAAAACTGTTTGATGAGTGTTCAATAAATATTTACACAATGGATGTGAATTCCATATTTAAAAAGATTATGGAGAATAATATAGCTTTAGCAAAATACTTAAAGAGCACAATTTTTAGAACCACAGAAAGTAATTAATTTATTTATTTTTTTCTTTTATTTTACTAACATTTTATTTTTATCTCTTATGTATTGTATGTATTTATGTTCCTTACCAAACAAAAACCCTCTGAAGGTTTTTAGTAGTGTAATAAAGTTATTATTATTATTAAGCATGGAAATATCTCCCCAAATACTTTTGCGTTTTTCGAATCCCACACGATGTTTGACGCCACTACAATGCTATGACCTTTGTTTGTCCTGTTTTTACGTTTGATTTTACGCATAACATGCGATCTTGCAGTGAACGAAAAATGGTTCATTTGCCAATATGATTCAAAGAAAGATGCAAAAGACTCATAATAATGGGATTACCGAGTGGCTTTCAATATATCAAACAAGACATGGCACAGTCAGTCTTGGACGAGATGCTTATATAATTGTTCCAGTTAAGGACATCAAGTTATGCAAACATAAATTTACAAAATCATTGAGTTACACCCATGTTTTAGAAACCACACCAACTTTTATGAAACTACGCCCAAATTTACCTCTAGGTTCAATAAACAACAAAACTCTGAGCTATAATTGAATTTTTTTGTGTTTTTTAGCAGCAGCTTGCATCTTTTATTTTGCTAACTGTAGTATGTGGTCCACTTATTTAGTAGTAAACCTGCAAAACAAACTAATTAAGTCAGCTTGCTTATTACTTGACTCATTTGAGTCACAAACAATAATGCACAAGTGAACTATAGCACAACTATTTGCATCACAGTATTAAAATCTCTTTGATTTAGTGGCACGCCGTAACAGCTAACAGGGCACAGTGGCGGTCCAGAGATAATGTTCAAACAACTATTTGATTACCTGATGCTTTGAAGACACCTCCTAACAGAAATGGTTTGAACTTGAGGTCAATACCCCATCTTCCACGATATTTACATATTTGCTGAAAAGAATTAAACATTATAATTAATGTCAGATAGGTGTCGTCAATAAAAGCTATTAAATAGATGTGGTATTTTAGATACATTGATAATACACACTTTTACAATGATTTCTATGGGAATTGTTCTAAAAATTTACATTTATGGCACTAGGTAACACATGATAAAGGCTATGATATATTGTAAAAGGGTTAATTATTCACTGTGTTTTAATTTTGTTTATTTAACTGACTGGAAAATGCGCTATATTAAAACCCAGTGAATATGTAAAATTTAGCATAGAACACATTACCTAAATGATAAAACCGTGAATTTAAAACCCACTGAATATGCCTGAAATGGTAAATCAGCAAAATATAAACCCAGTGAAAAATAATCATTTTAAAGTATGTAAAAATCTATACTTATGTAAGCTAGCACTTTGGAAACAAAATAATAATGTATAAAAAGTTCACCTTATTAAATACTAAAATAGGTCTAGTACACGCGAACGACCTTAAGGTGGAAGCCTACATGTACTCATGATTTCAAATACCCAGAATTTATTCATTTTCCAATAAATTGTACTTCCAGGCAACATAAGGATATTGATTTAAAAAAAAGTTGGGAGTCACCAGCTTAATTGTCAAGAAAATAATGGTTGTCTATTGGTGGATAGTGGCATTTTGGCAATATTATTATAATAGTGTTTTTACTATAGGTTCCTATTGCGGAGATATTATGTCATATCTTAAATTGTAAGCTGGTGACAAAAACTGAAAAAAAATTATATATTGTGAATGATTGGGTATATTTTGTTGTTCTCAACTATTTAAAAAATCTGGATTTTAAAAAGTGACAAAAAATTGTTTGTTTTAAAAATAGTGATTTTTGAAAAATTTTAAAGTTTCGCAAAATACATCTGTAACGCACAAAAGAATGCTATTTCACAGTACCAGGAGACAATATCTTCATAATTTTACATAATAAACCAATGAAAATTTTCTTCTACCCTAAAAGGCAAAGCGTGTTCGAATTTGATGTAAAAAAATGGGGGGCACGAAAAACTATGGGGGGGTTGCCTTGTATGTCAGCAAAATTTGCCTCTCAAAATGCAGGAAATAGCATTTCAGAGGGTTTAGATTTCAAAATTGAGCCTCTGATTTTACATGAGTTGTTACGTCGCTATGCTACCATATCAAACACGACGCGGCGCAATGACTACCGGTCTTGTATTGATGCAGCGTCGTCTGCTGCAGAGTCGTAACAGACGGGCATCTTGTTTACAAATGTTACCTTTATTCTCAGGCCACTTAAATAATTATTGCACTGCATGCTCAAAAAGTGACTTCAATTTAAGGCCAGACCAGAGATATAACATTGGCTGGTTTCCGTCTCAAGTGTCATGACGCACCAAGCATTGCCATTCTCTGGAACGTCGGGAACGACCAACAGTGTAAACATCGCTAAATCGCTTACCGCGGATGACATATTCTGCACATGGCGGCACTGCAACATTACACTTAATCCTTGTGACTGAAATTCATAGTTATGCACTGCGAACGTAAACTTAATATAAAATAAACTTACTTCGAATGCTATCCAAGAATACGGAGAAATTACATCATAGAAGAATTCTACCGTTCTTTTGGCTGGAGTCGCCATCTTAAATTGAACTCTGACCCGACCCTCCAGAATAATATCCATATCCTATCTGCCACTAGAGGTCGCTATTGTTGACTTACACAACAAATAAATTGAATTTGGAAGGGACCACGATCATGAGGGGGGGGGTGTCACAGCAGAACATCGTGATTTTGCCACAATAAGTTGAATATAAAATTCAACTTAAGGTCCTGGATTATCCAGTTATTTTAGTTTGATATGACTGCAGAGACTGAAAACAAATAGGTTTATAAATATTTAAATTTATAAGTATAAACATCCAGGGGTATGTGAATGACTACTGTAAACCTCCCTTATTTTGTTTTAACACTTGTATATATCACTCAAATACATCTCAATGCTGCAATGTTTCCATTACAGCTTTTCGCAGGATTCAGATCACACAAATCTAAAACTGTTCACACTTGCCTAAATAATTTCTCTTAAAAATTAAACCAATTTCAAGAAAAAACAAAACAAAAAAATATTACATAATGTTGTAAACACCATTACATATTGAACAAGTGAAACCATACTAATCCAGGTTATTACACACAAAACATATTGTTACAGATATGAAACCTGAAACATCAATATCAAATCTGTCATAGCAGATATTTTTAATGGCATCTATAGTGAACTTATTTTGATATAAAAACTCGTATAATCCATTATACCTTTAATGTTACTTATTATAACTGCATATACGCATGTATCACAATATGTTTAAATTTCAGAAAACTTTTATTTTATGTGAACATGTACCAGGTACATTATATAATTCATACCATAACATGTAAAAAGTATAACAGCTTCATTCTGTATCAATCATGTCACAGTCCCTGTGATCATGTGTAGCATATTCAGTCTTTGGGCTAAAAAGAATCAAAATCATAGGAAGTATTTTGTGATTAGACAAGTTTTGAGCTGCGGCAATAGCTTACAAACTTGTGCACTTGCTCCAAAATGTTCCAAATTTGTCTGCATAGAGGGGGTGATTTCCCCACCCAAATGTTTGCTAACTCATTAGAATACGACGAACCTGGGATACCGGGAAACAATAGGTGATTTTCTGTACAATTGCGAGATCTCGCGAGATGCATGAAAGACGCAAGTCGAACGTCTGTCGCAAAAATTGAACGATTTGATTTTGAACTAGAATTTCTTTATTTCGTAGCTTACATTGACTGGCCGATCTTCGACAGAGGAATATTGCTTCCGAATACCCTTACTTAATCGAAATTGCCTATCATCAAATGTGGACAGCACATTATTAAGCATGGAAATGTCCCCGAAATACTTTCGCGTTTGTCGAATCCCACACGATGTTTGACGCGACTACGACGCTATGACCTTTGTTTGTCCTGTTTTTACGTTCGATTTCACGCATAACGCGCGATTCTCGCAGTGAACAGAAAATGGTCTATTGGATGAGCTAGGAATCAACCCCTTGTTTTCACACAGAAACCGAATGATGGCACTGTAACACAAAACTGTAATGCAGGCAAGGAAGAAATTTAAGTTTGAATTTCAATGATTGGCAACAGTTTTGTTTTCCCATAAGGTCACATGTTTTCTAGTTACTGCTATTCAATAGGTCTTCCTGTGTGTGTGAAATTACACATATTTCCATATAGCATGAATTACTTTGTCTCCCATAGTTCAGAATAAGGGCAACTTTTATTCTAATTCAGATCAATAAATATTTCACAATATTGTTCATGTGACCCTAATAAAGTACTAGAAATGATCTGAAAGTGAAACTTCAAAGACCCTCCCTGTCAGTTTTTCCTGTCATACACTTGTAGATTCCATAATCCTGATCTAATTATCAGCGCATATGTACTTTTACATTGTCTTGACTTCAAACGGTCTAAATAAAACACGATGAAATCATTTTTTTGAGAAAAAAGACAAACTTCATGAGTAGTTTTATTAACAACTTAAACTGTTGTAACAAAGCAGTCAATATATACACTTTGATTATATACAATCTATGTTTTAATTCAGTTAAAAGATATACGGTAAGACTGGAAAACAAAATATGGGAGCATTTTCAAACAAAGCCTATCAAAAAACCAGTGCCTGACATATTTTTGCAATTCCACATCCTGTTGTAGTGTGACATATACTAGTACAGTAGAATGGGTAGATGTTTTTGTTTGTCAATCCCAAAGCATTATTTAAGAAATGTTAATCGCTGTACATAAATCCCAGAAGTAAATCCGCATCATTTTTTTTATTTTCCCTGAGACAAAAACAACACATTTTTTTTAGCCTAATCACAGATTACTGTCAACCACTTTAATTTTCCAAAAGAAATTTTGAAACAAAAATCAAACAATTTATCAAGTCATAATAAATTCTATAATTTGAAAAAGTGGGATTACATGCATTATTATACATAATTGTAGTATTCTGTATTGCAGAGGTTGTGACCTTTGCTGACCTTTGCCCTCTCTACCATGATGCATTGTACCTTTAGAGTTAGCAACCAGTAATGGCTGCCCACTGAATAAATAGTTGAAACTCATCTGTGTGTATCATTCACATCTCTAACCATCCATCGGTATATTATACTAATCCAATCCAATCTTTACCAATCCAATCCATATGCAAAAACTGACAATACATGCAGTATAATCATAATATATATTTATCACAAGCATGTTCCCATTTTCAAAAATGAGAAATAGTGGATTATGTGTTTGAAATTGATCAAACATACATTATTGTTATGACATAGTTTTGCAGATAAACAACTTGAATAGGAATGATTTGGTAAATGTCTATTTCATGCACCAAAATAGAAAGAGTTCCTTTTGCACCACCACCACCCCAACCCCTTCTCTCCAGCGCTACCCAAATTAATTTTATACATGTCTAAGGACACCAACAGCTATCTGGAGAGACAGTTAGAGTTACGGTTAGGGGGTGGAGTGCAAAAGGAACTATTAATACTGGTACTGTAAAATCATTAATTTTCACAGTATTTAATTTCACTGTTTTATGTGAAGTGAAAGCGGGAGGGTCGTCACCTGCGCACACGTGGGAATTGAGTCCCAAGCGATGATAACAACACACGATAAGAACGCAAAGGCTCATGGGTAGAAATTTGTTTGTAGATGGCTATTGCCATCTGACGCATGCGCAGGCGACGACTCCCTCGCTTTAACAGCAGATTTGACTCATTAGTGAAAAAAGCAAATAATTAATAATGAGTTTACAGTACACACTCAATACAACTTGACGGTTTGGATGACATAGCCCCTGTAATGCCAGAATTCCTGTTGAATCCACTCAATTGTTCACTATTTCAGAGCTGAAAGTTCATTCAGAGGACCTTCATACTTTTCTCCTAAAAATAAAAAATAGATATTATAAAAAGCAAGTCATTGAAAATGACACAGTCCCCGTTAAATTTTTGAAATCTCTCTTTGTGCTCGCCATATTAAAGCAGAGGGGTTGTCGAGAGCATGTCCTTGAAAATTGAGTTCCAAGTGGCGTATACAACAGATTGATTATTTACATCAAAACACGTGTTTCGTGTAGTAGTAATATGGCCAAAAATAAAAACAGCCGTTATTCGGCCATCTTTCATCTGATTATGAAACACACTGATATGTTTGATGTATGTGCCAAATACGAATGAAAATGGTACATAAATTGTGGAAATATAGTAGTAAGGCCAAAAAGTCAGATGGCTGTCAATCGGCCATCCTTGACCAGATTTTGAAATAAATTGTCATGAACATGCATCCTAACATGTATAAAGTACATGTATGTGCAAATTTGAATGAAAACTGACAGAGCACGTCCAAGATACCACATAAAAAAACAAAACAAGATGCCTTCTAGTCGACCATCTTTGATCCAATTGCGAAATAAATCGTCATGGACATGTATCCTAACATGTTTAATCTATGTACCTTGTTTGAATGACAACTGACAAAGCATGTCCAAAATACAACATTTTCAAAAAACAAGATGGCTGCCAGTCGGCCATTTTGAATCGAATCACTAAACCACTGCATGTGCATATGTCCCACATAAATTACTAGGTACATGCAAAGAATGAACGGAATCGGTCCAAGAGATTCTGAGATACGACTCCGGACGGACGTACGGACGGACGCACAGACGCACGGACAGACACCGAATTATAAGTCCCCGTTTTCGGACTCCATCCGAACGGGGACTAAAAATGAACCCTTATGAAATAGATACATTCAATATTTAGCTTTCGACTGGAAACTTTGATCATCTGGTCAAAAGTATTCAAAATGTTTGATCCAATTTTAATTTGAAGCAATTTAAAAAAGTGCCCTTCTTCCATGCATGAAATTAGTGTCAATTTTCAATCAAGTTTACTTTCTGGAAAGGTAGTCTAAGACAACTTGATATGATTAAAGCGACAATAGCTGTAACTGTTTGTTGAGTAAACTTTGGAGATTTTGTTGCCAGATGACAACTTACCGGTGACCCTGAGCGACATCATCTTGAAATGCTCAGCCCTATCTGACAGCCTCTTACTGATAATTTTATGTGTCAATCATTTCCCATAATAGTTTATGTTGTGCATCATAATTATCTATGATCACGAGAACAATTTCAACGAAATGGAGACAACTCAACCCTTATAATTTTCATCTTACATTTTATGTGAAGTTAGTCATGTGCTTTATGTGTCACTTTGCCTATCACATTGTGTTATATTATATCTCAGTAAAATATGATTATCTTTATGTGGTTATATTTAATTGAATGTAAAAAATCACTTATTGATGGGGGTGGTGGATTGACGAACATTTCATCGACTGAGGGCAGTATTGCATTAGCTAACTAAATACGCAACAGATGTAATATTCCGTGTTAAAATATTTTTCAGGTGTGATCCTGATAGAAGTAAACACGAAAACAATAATGGAATACGAAACTGAGTACGAAGAAAGCCTATGTCGATACAGCACTCAAATTTATCCGTAATTGGATTATTCACTAGTGTGATGGTGCTGTTTCGGGTTCTATGTTGAACCCTTCATCAGTCGGAACAGTACTTGACCGAATCGTTCGATTAATTTAGCTTTCAGAATGTTTGACGTTATTACTTTCATTATACAATTTAGTTAAAATGGAAAGTAATTCTTCGTCTTTTGGTGTGTCGTTTTTCACGAGTTTGTCAGTACGTAGAGTAGAACTTGTGAGTTTATCTTTCAAGTTGATATTTCTACGAAATGCAATAAGGGGGGATTTGGAAAAATGTTACACAATAACAGATCATTCCGAATTAAATCCCAGTTTTTTAATAGGGCTCTGTATATCTTAGCAAGTATAACATACCCATTAAATGCGCTATCAAGTGCATCCTATCAGATCCAAAGAACATATGTGCTTTGCCATCAACATGAACTAAAATAGTGGGTGCACCAAATGCCTAGAAAGAGAGGGAGAAATACATACATGCTAACTTTACATTATTACAATTCATTCAGTCTATTGAGAGTTTTTATTCTACAAAACCACAAACATAGATATGATCACAGAGAAAACTTTGTTACACAAAGACCTAAAACATACCCCATGAGTTAATGCTGTTTCTGTTCTCGCTTTCAATTTATCTTTAACATCCTTATCTTTAATTCTTTCTACAAGTTTCTGGGCTTTCTCTGCTGAAATTCCTCCACTTGTCGCTGCCTGAATGTGGACAAAAATCAGGCTTAATTAAGTAAAATGTAGATAGCAATTGTCAAATAGCATCTAGCCTTAAATACCACATTTTCTAACCCTAAAGGTCACACATCCTGGTACTTTCTAACCTAAATGTCACACATCCTGGTACTTATCTAACCCTAAAGGTCACACATCCTGGTACTTTCTAACCCTAAATGTCACACATCCTGGTACTTATCTAACCCTAAAGGTCACACATCCTGGTATTTTCTAACCCTAAATGTTATACATCCTGGTACTTTCTAACCAAATGTCACATCCTGGTACTTTCTAACCTAAATGTCACACATCCTTGTACTTTCTAACCTAAATGTCACACATCCTGGTACTTTCTAACCAAAGTGTCACACATCCTGGTACTTTCTAACCTAAGTGTCACACATCCTGGTACTTTCTAACCCTAAATGTCACACATCCTGGTACTTTCTAACCTAAGTGTCACACATCCTGGTACTTCCTAACTCTAAATGTCACACATCCTGGTACTTTCTAACCCAAAATGTCACACATCCTTGTACTTTCCAACCTAAGTGTCACACATCCTTGTACTTTCTAACCCTAAATGTCACACATCCTGGTACTTTCTAACCCTAAATGTCACACATCCTGGTACTGTTTAACCTAAATGTCACACATCTTGGTACTTTCTAACCCAAAATGTCACACATCCTTGTACTTTCTAACCTAAGTGTCACACATCCTGGTACTTTCTAACCCTAAATGTCACACATCCTGGTACTTTCTAACCTAAATGTCACACATCCTGGTACTTTCTAACCCTAAATGTCACACATCCTGGTACTTTCTAACCTAAATGTCACACATCCTTGTACTTTCTAACCTAAGTGTCACACATCCTTGTACTTTCTAACCCTAAATGTCACACATCCTGGTACTTTCTAACCTAAATGTCACACATCCTGGTACTTTCTAACCCTAAATGTCACACATCCTGGTACTTTCTAAGCTAAATGTCACACATCCTTGTACTTTCTAACCTAAATGTCACACATCCTGGTACTTTCTAACCCTAAATGTCACACATCCTGGTACTTTCTAACCCAAAATGTCACACATCCTTGTACTTTCTAACCTAAGTGTCACACATCCTGGTACTTTCTAACCCTAAATGTTATACATCCTGGTACTTTCTAACCAAAATGTCACATCCTGGCACTTTCTAACCCTAAAGGTCACACATCTTGGCACTTTCTAACCTAAATGTCACACATCCTGGTACTTTTTAACCTAAGTGTCACACATCCTGGTACTTTTTAACCTAAGTGTCACACATCCTGGTACTTTCTAACCCTAAATGTCACACATCCTGGTACTTTCTAACCCTAAATGTCACACATCCTGGTACTTTCTAACCCTAAATGTCACAGATCCTGGTACTTTCTAACCCTAAATGTCACAGATCCTGGTACTTTCTAACCCTAAATGTCACACATCCTGGTACTTTCTAACCCTAAATGTCACACATCCTGGAACTTTCTAACCTAAGTGTCACACATCCTGGTACTTTCTAACCCTAAATGTCACACATCCTGGTACTTTCTAACGCTAAATGTCACACATCCTGGTACTTTCTAACCTAAATGTCACACATCTTGGTACTTTCTAACCCTAAATGTCACACATCCTGGTACTTTCTAACCCTAAATGTCACACATCCTGGTACTTTCTAACCCTAAATGTCACACATCCTGGTACTTATCTAACCCTAAAGGTCACACATCCTGGTATTTTCTAACCCTAAATGTTATACATCCTGGTACTTTCTAACCAAAATGTCACATCCTGGCACTTTCTAACCCTAAAGGTCACACATCTTGGCACTTTCTAACCTAAGTGTCACACATCCTGGTACTTTCTAACCCTAAATGTCACACATCCTGGTACTTTCTAACCCTAAATGTCACACATCCTGGTACTTTCTAACCCTAAATGTCACACATCCTTGTACTTTCTAACCTAAGTGTCACACATCCTGGTACTTTCTAACCCTAAATGTCACACATCCTGGTACTTTCTAACCCTAAATGTCACACATCCTGGTACTTTCTAACCCTAAATGTCACACATCCTGTACTTTCTAACCCTGAATGTCACACATCCTGGTACTTTCTAACCTAAATGTCACACATCCTTGTACTTTCTAACCTAAGTGTCACACATCCTGTACTTTCTAACCCTAAATGTCACACATCCCGGTACTTTCTAACCCTAAATGTCACACATTCTGGTACTTTCTACCTAAGTGTCACACATCCTGTACTTTCTAA